GCTTCTGCGGGTCCGCTCCCGCTCCCCGCGTCGGCCTCTCGCCCCATCCCCCGATGGGGGGATATCTCCGGGAGTATCTCCGATACCTTGTGTAAAGCTGTCTTCGCTGCCTGGGGCCAGTAAACGGCTAAGCGGCATGGAAGAGCGAGGTACGCCTGATCAAACTCCGGCCTTCTCCGAAACAGGCGTATTCCTGTCTTGGCAAAAGATGGGTACAGACTCCGTTACACAGATTGTCGGTTCGGCTCAGTCAAACAGGATTAACTTATGTCATTCCATGGTTTTCACTTAAGAATCCATTTTATTTAAAAATTTCCATGCTTAATGCATTTTCTTCCAAGTATTTTCCCTAGAGATCTGTCTTGCACCACTTTTTTGAAGTGAAAAGAAATATCTGCAGTGCCTTTGTCTTATCTTCAGTACCTCATTTTCTGCTCGTAGCAGACTGAAATTCAGCCTTAATGAGATATGCCATACTGTATCTAGATCAGTGGATTGCTTCTATGCAAAGTCTTACATTGATCTACTCATAATAAATGAGTATATCGATAAGATTGTGTCTTGCTGGTTGGTTGTTGGTTTTTTTTAAAATAAATTTCTGTTTTGGTTGGTTTGACTTTTTTGTATGACGTGTATTTATAAAAACACAAGTTGATTCTTAAGTACAAACACTGCAGTTTCTTAACAGTTAGCTGAATCATTGATTTAAAATTAATTTTCTTCTTGATTTATATAGTATGGAGGAGCTCCAGGAGGACCAGCATTCCCTGGACAAGCTCAGGATCCTCTGTATGGTTATTTTGCTGCCGTAGCAGGGCAGGTAAAGTTATAAAATGTTATTTATTTTTTGGATTTTTTTTTTTCCCTTGGGGAATAATTTCTACATTAGCTTTTGGAATGAGGAATGCCTAATATTTGCAGTGAAGAAAATTGTTGTTTCAAGTTAAAAAAAAAAAAACAACGTCAAATACAATAGTTTTACTTAGCCTATCTGCTATATATAGCTGTGTAGCTGTACCATATAGCTATATACACACAGTATCTATACAGTTTAAATAATGCTGTTAGTTTCTATATAGTGTGTGTCAATCATAGAATCTTTGGGTTGGAAGGGACCTTTAAAGGTCATCTAGTCCAACCCCCCTGCAATAAGCATATGTGTATATATATACACGTATGCATGCAGGTGCTGTATTTCCTATGTAAGTATGTACAGGGACTGTATAGTTACATGAAATGTAACTGAATCGTAGCTCAGCTCTGGGTGGGGAATGCTGCTAGTTTCAGGAGAGAGAAGCCAGAACTGATGAGAAGTATGGGCTGTGGAGATGGGCTAGCTGAGAGCAGGACATGCTAATAAGAAAGAGATTGTTACATGATCTTAATAGACTCACAAATGGAAAAGTAGTCTTGAGTTGTGCCAATATCTGGGTTTGCTGGTAGGATAGAATGATTATTCTTTTAGAGGAAAAGGCACTCTCAACTTTCATTCAGGCCTTTCTTTTTACTTTCCTGTCATTCTGCACAGCATTTTTAATTTCTTTCATGTAATTTTGTGTCATATATTGGTTTTGTGTGATTATGCATGTTACTAGAAATAAGTAGTTCTTGAACTATGTTACAAAGTTTAGGAGCAGATAAGTTAGGTTTATTGAGCTGTTCTCAGCTGTTTTTGTTCTGTCAAATAAGACAGAACAAAAAAAGTTCTGTCTGTGTTAGCCATGTGTATTTATTGCACACTTCTAGGGTGTGCGCAAATCTAAAACTCTGCTCCTGGATGTTATCCACAGATAGACATAACCACAACATGAAAGTTTGAATTCAGCAATAGTAGCTGATGTTTAAATTCCCAGTTTAAGATTGCAATTTGGGTTATTTTTGTTCTCTATGGTAATCTTTTCAATTTATAATGCATCTTACCATCTATATGTTACTTCTTTAACTGTGCTTATGAAAATACATAGACTATGTATTTTTGTAGTAAAGGAGAGCACTGGAATGACTTGCGTGTAGTGAGGCAGGCCTCTCAGGTAAGGTGGAGCCCAAGCTAAACTCTGCTGAAGGTGCTGACAGTCTGCCTGCCAGCTGAGATGCTTTTGCACCAGGTGCCACCTGGATGTGCCAGGAATCGGCAGTGGAGTCAGTGACTGACGCTGGAAAAATGAGTAAGCACCTGATGTAAAGAGAAAGGGGGGTAACGGCAAACAGGATGCAGCCCTGTGGGGAAGAGGTGGCAGGAGCTGGACCTCACCAAAGCATAGACCATCCCGAGGCTTCTCAAGTGAGGCGTGGTCACTGAAAGCTGGGGAACCGGTTAGCACTTAAGTAAGAGTACTCAAGTTAGTACTCTTAAATACTTTTTATTCTTAGAAATCATTCCTTATTCAAATGAACTGGGCAGCTTTTGAAATGTTATCTTTGGAATTGGAAGAGTCAGTTTCAGAGACCAGTGGCCGTGCAGAACTAAAAACCCTGCGAGCAGACAGTGAAATGACAATATAAATTGTCAGTTGCTTTTACAGCCATCTGTGCAAGTCTGTAAAAAGCTACATCTCACGGTCTTCTGTATGTACTTAGTGTAGAATTAGTAAAGTTTTTGGCTATGGTTTGCTGCTCTCTGTGTAGTTTTTATGCCTATATAATACATAATGTTATCTCTGAGCTTTCTGTGAAGTAGTTTGCCACAGAGATCTTGTCTTAGATTTGAGGAATTAGTTTTCTTTGTCTAGAGAAGAAAGTCAAAGGTATTGTTTCAAATCTTTATTAAATTAATTGAGTCTGTCTTTGTAGGAAGTAATACTTTTCTTTTTTTAGTCTGTTCGCAAAGCCCCTATGCCTTGTCTAGTTTAACTGCTTAAGTTCTACTCAAAAAAAAAAAAAAAAAAAAAGCCAAGCATCTTTCTGATAATGTTAACCATGATTACAAATCATGCTTTTCTGTCTTCCTCCTTATTTTAAAGTTATGCAGATCCTTCCTTTGTTCCAGAAGACACAAGGGCTTTGAAGAGATTCGCTGCTTAATATGCATGCTATTTCAAATCTCTTTTTTCTTTTCTTTTTTTTTTTAATTGTCCTCTGAATGTTAAGTTGTAGATGCATCTGTATAGTTAGACTGATGGAGTAGATTGGAAGCAGTTTTGGGTTTAGCTGCAATTAATTTCACGTAGAATCAAAATGTTGTTGGTCTTTTTTCAGACTTTGTCAAATATTATGTAACATATTAACTACTATTTGTCCTATAAATAATGATACTTCATTTCTGAAAGTTGCCTGGCTGTGCCATTCCTACCATGCCATTTAGTAGCATATCTCTCTTCTTAAAAAGAAGAAGAAAAAATGCGTACTGAATTTGAAAACATAAGGAAAATGCTGAGGCAAATAAATTTGTTTCAAATATAAAGAAACTCTCTTTTCCCTATTTAATGCTTTACAAAAGTCAGGTCATTTTTTATATCTACAGATATAATATTCCATCCTTGAATGAGGTTATATTATACTCAAACTATCTGTGAACCGAACTTCATGTTGGGGTTTGAGGAAAGTTACCTAGAATTCCAGCACCGCTTTTGACAGCTCATTGCTTTCGATGAATTGGCAGTTGCTTTCTCTATTTGGCCCTGCCCAGGATGCACTGGAAGTGAGTCATTTTCCAAACATGCAGATTGGTATCTTTTCCGGGTTTCTTTTGGTTTTCTTTCAATTTGCTTTCTGCTTTTGTTTGTTCTGCAAACAACTTAGTATTCAAAAAAAACGAGGTTTTTTTAGATTTGTGAGTCTTAAGGCTGTCTTGAGAAGAGGGTCTTTATGATCTGGTTCTAGGTAGCAGTACTGTAGCAGTGAGATCATAAACATGTAATCTAAAGTGACCACAATACTGAGTAAGTTAAGACTGGTACTTTTAAGGAGAGCTGTCTTGCTGTTCAAAATTTTGCAACTTGGTTTCTATTAGGGTGACTCTGGGGTATATGCTACCAATATTTGATGTGGGTTTGTGGTTCTTTTTTTTTTTTTTTTTCAGTTAAGTTTAGAGCAAACCTGCCGATCCTGTTCATTTTTTAGTACATCACTAGATGAGAAAGCTAATGCATATTGCAAAAATATCCACAAAAGAAACATCATAACAGGTACGGGTTATAAAAGGCAATTTCTATCATATAGCAGACAGGTAATCAGTTATTTTTTGAAGGGGTAACTAATTTAATGCCACTGCAAAGGGAGTGGGTACTGGGAATAACCAGCCTGGGAGAGGGAATTAAAACAATAGCTGATACATGTTCTGTTATTAAAAGGATGGACAAATAGATGCTGATGAGCTACAGAGATGTCTCACCCAGTCAGGGATTGCAGGAGCTTATAAACGTAAGTTAATGATTTAAAATAACCAAAGCAACCCCAACCCTCAAGCATACTAATTCTTATGCCATCTACTAGAAAATGCTTGTAGTTGTGCCTTCTGCAGATGTTTGGGGTTTTTTTGTTTGCATGGTGGAAGGGCTTTCTTTCCACATGGGCTACTTCAAACATAAATTCTCTGTATTCAGTTCTGTGCATATAGGACTTCCCTTCTCAGCCTCCTTAGTTCCCCACTGCTGAGCTGTAGAGTTTCAGTGTTTTGTAACAGACAGCCAATTCTTAAAGAGATGTTTTGCTTTGTTTTCTCAATTGAGCTTTGATACTGACCAAAAACTTCTCTGGTGGGACTCCTCTGTTGGGCACCTAGTGTTCAGTTTACAAAATTGAGCTTCTATGAGTAAACTGGCTTCCTCAAGTGGTGTCTATGGTGAAATATAAATGACCACTTTGACTGAAACCCAAAACCTTTAGATTGAGATAAGAGCAAATTAATTTTAAGTATAACTTGAATTGCCTCCAGGTTGTCTGCTGTCAGCTTTTCTAACAAGTAATGATAAAAAATGATTAATCTTACTTGGATCAAAGTATGGTATGGCTACGTACAGTGGAAGCAATTATATAATATTTTATACATTGTAATATATTATCAGTGTATAATAAAAAGCAATTTAAACTGTTATGTTTAGACAAAACTGAAAATCATTCTTCTAACTTATTTTTCCTTTTTCTAATTTAAACAGCTTTCAACGTAGAGACTTGCAGACTCATGATCTCAATGCTGGATGTATCCTTTACTATGAATTGTAAACATTTTTGCATTACATAAGCAGAGATGAGAAGGTGCCCAGAATTTGAGAAATGCTTTGTAATTACCATTCAGCTCTTATTTGATAAGTGTTATGATCATTATAATTGGGGAACTACACAACTCCATTCTTAGTCATTTTGCTGAATGAAATAATACTAATAAATGAGGCTCTCGGTGACCGATCTTCTTACAACAAGTGGTATCCCTGCAAGCCTAGGGGCCTGTTTCTCCATTGCATGAAGAGTCGGGTCTGGCAGCCCAGAATGGACTGTTGTGCAAATCGCTCATTGTGCTTTTGAAATTGGATGACATTGTAGATGTCCTGCCTACTGAATTAAGCATTTGTACTACACAGCCTGAATACAGTCCCCCTAAATCCTGTTCCCTGAATGAATCAGGTTTGAGTATCTAATGAGGTGGTATCTGGCATTCAGCAGTAGGACCTATGGAAGACTTAGGTATACTGCGCAAGGTTGGAAACTTTGAAGTGTTTTAGTCAAAAGTTGAGTTGTCATGTTCAAATGTTTTGCTATTGAAAAAAAACAGAAATGAAACCAGAAGGGCTGTTAGCTCACCTGGAACAAACCACTTAGAATATGAGAACACTGATGATACTCAAAGTAATTTTTAATTTGGCATCTGTTTTTATTTCAGGTGTATATTTTATTGGTAACAATTACACTGCGTCAGGTAAAAGAGAAGTGTGTGAACTAAGTTAAATTCACAAAGAGCAAATAGTTTTATTGTGTTTCACTGAGAAATGCGGAGAGCAAGTTATCTGAGCTTTGGTTTTGGTCGGTAGTATTATGACCGTGCTGTGGGATGCTGTAGTTAGTTTTCTACCAGAAAAATCAATAATAGTAAAATATTGTAACTGTTGGCCTTCAGGAAAGAGTTTTTAACTACAGATGATAAAAATACAAATTTCCATTGAAGAAGAGGGCGCTTTTTAAAAAAATTTTTAAGATAAATGTTTTTCTTAGCTTTGCAATCAGAGGGATATGTCTGGCACACTGGGATTTAATGAGTTTAAAGAACTCTGGGCTGTGGTTAATGGCTGGAAGCAACACTTCGTAAGTTTTGACAACGACAGAAGTGGTACAGTGGATCGTCAAGAACTGGAGAAAGCCTTGATGAACATGGGTAAGTTGTGAAATGTTCTTGCTTCTGACTTACAGCACTTCCTTGTACCAGTTATCATCCTGCAGTAACTGACCCATGATCTTTCCAATTAAAAATGTGTTGGATTCTGTTAACTTACCTGTCTTTTCAATATAGACTTTTTATTTTCAAACAGGATTTAGGCTGAGCCCACAAGCAGTGACGGCAATCACAAGGCGATACAGCACTCATGGAAAGATTACATTTGATGATTACATTGCCTGCTGTGTGAAACTCAGAGCTCTCACTGGTATGCTGGATTATAGCCTTGTTATGATCATCCCCATAATATTTTTATTTAATAAAATCTCATTACTCAGTTACCTCAAGTTCAACTTTAACTTTTATGTAACACAAAATAGGTTTATTTCAATAGAGTTTACAGGCAGAACTGGAACAATTATATTTTTTAAATCCCCACTGAAAAATGGTCTTAAAACTAATGCAGCATTTATTCCAGAGACTAGAAGAGTTATGTTCTCAAAATTGGGAAACTATTTATCAACAGAACATGAAGGGTTGTATCTGATAATAAAAAAACAAAGAACAGGAAATGAAGTCTTGGAATGAATTGCAGTATTCTTCATGAGTTCTCATTCATTTTTATGAATAACTTTAATGAAAGTACAGTGCATTTTAAACAAATGTATTAACTGTAATTCTTCTTACCTGGTTTCTGGTTTTTTTTTCAATGCATTTTTGCAGAATGTTTTAGAAGAAGGGATACATCTCAGCAGGGTTTTGTGAACTTCCAGTATGATGATGTAAGTGAACTTTAAGGACTCAGTTAAAGTTACAGCGTAAAACTGAAGAAAAACTTAAAACTGAAGACGAACAGTAATGATTTGAGTTTGTTTCTGTCTTCTCTATCCTTGTGGTGTTACCCGAGAGCATAAAGGTTCTGAGTTTTGCGGAGTATTGTCTCAAAAACTTTTCACATATTTTAGAGTTCTGTGAAATGTTGTTTTGCATTTTTGTTTGGACTTCTTAGTGGTGTGGTTCAAGACAATCTAAGAGGCTATGTTGCTTGCCAACATCACTTTTTGTGACTTTTTTTGCCACTTTAAGGCTTGGTCGGCATTTTTCCTAGGAAAGGCTGGGGTGGTGCCATGGGGACAGACACAAGTCACAGTGAAGCTTATAGGTCTTGGCTTCCTGGCCACATCTGTGCAAGAAAAGGGAACACTACATTCAAGTATTCTTGGTTTTTTTGTTGTTATTATTAAGGAGATGCTTTGTTTTAATTAAGTATTAGCTAATTTTCCTATTTAGTTTCAAAGCTTTGTTGTTCATGGACTGAGCTTCTTTACAGAAAAGGGTAGTGACAATGGGTATTCTGGAGAAAAAGTGAAAACTTGTTCTCTACCATATATCTAATAAGTGGTTATTCTTTTTTTCAGTTCATACAGTGTGTTATGAGCATCTAAATCAAGAGGAAGGAAGCTATGGATGATCACGATTAACATTCCAGTTTGTGTTTTGCTTTGCCAAATCTTCCAATGATTGTGTATCTCAGTATTGGAAATTGCGTATTTTATGAAGGTATTGCTGTACACACTTGCATTTTTTTTAGTTTTGACAATGACGATGAACTACTCCTGCACTGTCGTTTTCAACTTTCAACCTGTGATTATTGAAGATGTTTTTATTTTCATAAACTTGCAATTCACTACATATAACTCAAATTATGCAGATATGAAATTTTTCTGTACTGTGTTTACTTTCCTGTGATTCACTAAAACCAGTTCCTGGAGTGCAACTTACCTTTTTCATTCTTAAACAGTGTCGTGTTTATGACATAAGATAATACATATTCTTTTGTTTTTGACAGCATAAGACACATGTACAAACTGAAAGAGATTTTGGAATAATCATTTTATGCTAGTCTGTTAGAACATCAGTAAGTTTGAGTGGCTTATTTTGACAGCTAGCTATTTTCAGGATGAAGTCTGTGACACCATGCACTGAGCATAAGACTACCTGTCAGAACTCCAGTGATGCAACAAAACATGGCAGAGAACTCTTCTAGCAGTGTGCTTTTGTATAGGGGCCTTATGCTCCAGTAAGATTCTTGCTATGTTTGTGTCACTATATAAACTACTTTCAAACATACAAAAAACTACGCTGTGTCTGTTTATACATTAACCTTCCGTTTAACAATAAACTTCTAAGCTGCCAGACTTCAGTCACATCTAAATCTGTTTCTATCATCTCCACTTTAAACCCTAACCAGTAGCCTTTCCTGCCTCCATATGCCAACTAACATACAAGGGCCAAATCCCACTTCAAAAAATTCTTGCCAGATTACTATTTCAGATCACAGAAGTAATTTACTAACACCGCAGAATTTACATGAAAGCAGATACAGAAAGGCAAGACCTTTTTGCCTGAGATTTTTCAGGGGAAAAAAGAGGGTTTTGTTTGGTGGGGTTTTTTGGTTGATGATTTTTTTTTTTTTAGAGGGAGATTGACATTGTATGGGAAGAGGGAGTGGCATAACTATATGGAGGCAGTTCAAACTTACTGGAAAAAACTTCTGTTAACATTGGTCACTTCTACCTACCACAGAGGGCTGATACAAATTTTTGCTAGCCTTGTAAATGCAAAGCGTGTCAGAAGAATGTTAAAAGAAGTATTTCTCTTACATTAGTGGTTTAGAGCACTGTTGGGGAGGAACCTTTGCACTAAGGAATGAAAGCAAAACTATACATACATGTGTGTATATGGCACTGGACAAACAACAGAAATAATCCTCAGAGCAGAAATCTTATTTGAAGATACTGTTTTATACCCTAGCTTGCTAAGAACAGTCTAAAATCTAGGTCTCTCATTTCTAGGCTGTAAAGGCAAAGCTAGCTCATCTCACCTAAAGAAGCAACTAGTCACTACTTAAAGTCAGAATCCCCTTTGCATATCGCTTCTAGTTTCATTCCCTAACTATTTCTCTTTCTGGCCTCAAAAATGAGTTTTAAAGGTGTAGATGTGGCTATACTTCCCCATTCTGATAATTGTACACTGTCCTGTTGCACACAAAGTTGGGAAAGACACAAGGAATGCTACAGAAAGCATTTCTAACATAATGATCAGAGTCCATAAGGGTTTGTCTGACTGAAGTAGCCAACATCAGATTTGCTGTAGTTAGAACTTTGACAGCTGACAAAGTTAGTAAGCCGAGTATGAAGCAAAGCCTGTTCTTCCTGGAGAGTTTTGATTAGACCATTTTGCATAAATACAATATTCATCCACTGTTAATTTTACCGTAAAAAAGATGACATCTTTACCAAAATGCACATTGCCCACACGTTTCTCTCACACTTCTGCTTAATGGTATTTCTGGTCTTGTACTGGATTTGGCTGGGATGGAATTAATTTTCTGTATAGCAGCCTGTTGGGTGCTGTCGTTTAGATTTGTGACTAAAATAGCAGTGATAATACACCAGTGTTCTAGCTGTTGCTGAGCAGTGCTTGCACAGCATCAGGGCCTTCTCAGTTTCTCACTCTGGGACCCCAGTGAGTGGGCTGAGGGTGGGCAGGAGGCTGGGAGGAATTGTGGGGGGGCAGCTGACCCGAGTGGACCAAAAGGATATTCCATGCCCCATAACATCATGCTCAGCAGTAAATCTGCGGCAGGGGTGGGTAAGTCTCTCCAAAACAGCTGTTGCTTCGGGACTGGTTGGGCATGTGGTGAGTGATTGCTTTTGCATGGCTTGCTTTCCCCGCTTTTTCCCTCCACTCATTAAGCTGTTTTACCTTGATCAATTTTTTTTTGCTTTTGCTCTTCCAATTCTCCACCCACCACAGGCCTGAAACTACTAATGAAAGAAAACATCAGGCAACAATGAATATAACATTCTTGTAGATAATTGTAACTTACTAAGTTATCCGAGATGCCACGGAAGTTCCACACTACTATACAAGTATGAAGTTATGCAAAAAGTCATGAGAATTACTGATGAAATAATACGTGGGAGTAAAATTGTGCCTACAAATAAAAGCTTGGCTTGAAAAATCTGTTCATCTTAGGTTTGGGGGGGTGGGGGGCAGTACTTTTTCTTAATGAGAAGCGTAACAGGTGTCTGGAGCAATGAAAGAAGAGGACAGTAACAAACACGCTATGCCTTTCTCAGTTTATTTCCCCAGGCTGAATTAGTTTTGGCACCAGCCAGCTACTGGGCAGTGAAATGCTCCGAGAACATCAGTGTGAACCAACAGGGTTTTCTTCAGGGATCTTCTTGTAAACACAAAACAGAGAAAACTGGAAAAGGGGTTGCTCCAAACCCAGGAATAAATTCTAGCTTATCCAAGGAAGAATTGCTTGTTCTCCGTAAGCATTTCAAAAATCCATGGTATTCACAGGGACTGATAGGATTAATCATCTTTCATGTTTAGACATAAACTAAGATAATACAGTTCAGGAGTGAATACAGAATTTGCTGTCATCTAGCTAAAAAAAAGCCACTTGGAACCTATGTGAAAATTGCTTCCTCATTATGAGTTGATTCAGTGGGCAATCTGAATATGCAAATTTCCTGCTTTAGGGAAACAGTTATCTATAACTCAGAATTAAGGGTTTCTCTTTTCCCAAAAGGCATACTGGGAAGGATGCTTATACGATACTAAGTGGAGTGGTTGCTCTTAACCTTTGGGCACAAATTGTGCATAGTTTAGATTTTTTTTCTAAGTTGCCCTCAGACATGCAAACCTAAGGAACAATAATTTTAGATTAATTTTTAATTATTTTAAATAAATCAATAAAATTTTAACAGTAATTTTGCCTTGGGAACAGTAGGAACCTAAGACAAAGACGGGGAAGCTCACAGGATCATTTTCAACCCTGGAATTTGAAAAATCGCATCTGTATTCTGTTCTATTGGCCATTAGCTTTTTTTTGCCATGCATGCAGCACCTTTTTTTTACAGAGACCTATAAAACAGGAAGTGATAAATATAAGGACTTACGAGAACAAAATACACACAACGGTCTTTGTCATTGAAAGTCACTTTACTGATGTTACAATATGTTAGTAACATTGAAAACCACAGGCATTTGTATTAAATACTCTCATAGAAGTGGATACTGTGATGCTGTTATTAAAAGTGAGCAGGAATTTAGAACCCCGAATTACAATGATTTGATTTTATAAAAAGCAACGTTTTGTTGAGCTACATGAAAGCCAGATTCATTCACTTCAACAGCCCAATGCCTGTAATGTTTATGACAAAAATACCACACTCAAAGCTAGAAAGCTGCAAATTGTAATGCTTCATTTTGGTGTTTGTCAAAATCTTATGTTTCTATTACATCAGGTACGATTTTTAAAGGATTTTAACTAGCAAAGACAACAATATGATGAAGATTGGTTGTTTTTGCCAATACTAGCCCAACCCCAATGGTGAAACATGGTTCTCCTTGCCTCTCTCAATGTTGTGCCAATAAGGGCTAGTATGAGTGAAAAAATAGATAGCTCTTTTTTACAGCAATGCCAAAGATTAGCACAAAATGAAGCTGGTAGAGCCGACTGGTATATACCACCCCAAAAGCTTTGCTGAAAGAACTGGGCATACTGTAAATAGTGTTTTCTCCAACAGATTAAAAATTCTGTAATGCTTTGCTATTCTGAAAAAAATACTTTGCATTTATGCAACAATAAAAATAAGTACTGTATTCTATATAAAACACTACCTATTGTAATATATCTTTACCCCTAAGAAAAGAAAAATTAGGTTATATATTCACAGTTTGAATATATTCTGGACTGTATTTCCAAGCACAAAATATGCAGAGTCTCTACACAGGCAGTGAGCAGGAGTCCTTGTACCAATAATCAAAATAAATCAGCATTTACTGTTATACTGAGCCTTACAATATTGCATGTTTAGCTGCTAGCACCACTATACTTACAAGGTCAGTCAGGCCTATATACAGAATTTCTAACGTGGTTGTAAAAATAGACTCTCCATGCTAAAGTTAGAATATATAAGGTCTTAAGGCCCCATGTTAAGGTTTTTTTTAACCAAAACTTACTTTTTTTATTCGGAGGAATACAGAAACAGAAAAAAAAAATAGCTTGTTGCTTTGACATTTTATGCTCTGGTAATTAAAAACACTGTAAGAAAGACACCTGTAATCTCTCCCTTAGAGAATGTTTCTTTTTAACTGCTCTGTGTTTACTTTCCCCAATGTTCCTCATCTCGTTCTGAATGGTACTGCAACTGCAGCCTGTCTATGTAGCAGAAGTTTTAAACAATTTAAAACTGGCTTAGCTAAAGTGATTTTGAAACTGGTGTAGATAGGATTTTAGAGAACTAAAACCACCAGACCTGGCTACGTGAGACAATTTTGAAGTCAGGTACCAAGGTTCTCAAGTTTGAGCGAACCACCACATTTGTGTGTTCTGAACTTACTTTTACCGCTTGTCTTGGTTACTTGGCTGAGATAACATTTTAATATTGACTGTTGTAGGGCTTTTCTAAATAGTTGCAGAAAACTTGTGGAATAACAAGATACCACGTGCTGGGTGTACGAGCTACTGCTTCCAAAGCTTTAGTTTACATCAGCATCCATACTTGAGGCACCAGAAGTGTTTTTTGTAAGCTGACTTGGAAAATACTCGGGTCAAAGGAGTGTGTTAGTGTAGGTGATAGGAAGTATTACTTCATTTCCCATTTCTGGTGAAATCACACTTAACAGTCCTACTGTATTGCAATTATGTCTACACAATCAGTTTCACCGTTTTCTTTTTTTCCTGCTCCGTTAGCCGAATAGTTATGTGCACACAGGAACAACACCCTACTGTGCAGTCATGTGAAGACAAGCTGTACATGCGTGCAGTTTATTCATATGTGTCCATGAAATCTGATCAAAGTCAAATCCCATATTGCTGATAAATGGTATATGGTTTGTAAGCCATGCAAATAGCAGGTCATCAGCTCAGCAGTCTGATAGATAGCCATTCTGGGCAAAAAACTGGGTTCAGAGAAGACCAGAATGCTCAAGCTCTTTAAAAATGAGGTAAATAACCTCACACTGTGGTTGATAACAGTGGCCCAAACAGCCTGCTAATGATTACAGCTACTCCAGTAACTTAAAGAAATGTATGATCTTCAGACTTGGAGCAAGAGAACTAGGACACAGCGCAAATTTTGGGTTCACAGACTGATTAAAGAGGCTTAGGCTTCAACAATGCTAGAGGGTGAGAAAGACACAGGATGACTGAGCCACCAAATGGTTCTACCAGTGCAAATTGCACGAGACATGTGGCTCCGTCACCTACACTGTCGCAAGACTAGACGATGTATTAACAGCGCTGGAAAGACCTTATTCAGGCCATTGTGTGGAAAGGCAACTAAGCAGTTTTTCGATCTCAGACAACCAACACAGGAGGCTGTTAATGGATGTAGCTGTCATTCATGGAAATGCTTTTCAGTAGGAGTGGAAAGGGGATGGAAGAGCTTGCTGAGTTTTACGCTGGAGTTTCGTAAGTTTGCTTAAAACAGCTATGTATGGGCTTCAATAACAGAGCAAGTCCTAAGAGCTAACCTGCTATCCCATAGCATTAGAGAGTCTCATCCTTTCACGTTACATCCTATCCTATTCATTAAGGAATGAAATAACTGCAAATTTGGTCAGAATTTGTAGTATATGCATGCCTGTAATAGTGTATGTACCTATTCTTAGCTCTGGTTTTGAAAACAGTTGTCACATTGGTGTTGACAAGACCACTCAGTTAATTTAAAACCAGCAACAGGGATTCAGGTGAGAGGACTTCAGTACGCTAGCTATTGACACAATTTCTTTCTGGTTTTAATTTGGGCTGTAACCCAAAGGCCCATTTGTTCATTAGCACAATCAAAACTATCTAATGGGTACATCAGCTTAGCAGGTTCAACAGCTCATAAATCAGGAACAAAACCCTGAAGTCATTTGGAAGCAGCTACCTTCAAAGTCAAGTCACACTTCAAATCAGGTAACTGGCAAGTAGTGACTTCAAGTTCACAACTTACGCAGAGATAGGCTGTATAAAATGAACAACCTCTATAAAACTACTTAGTTAAATACAATAAAATTATATGTAAGTTATCAATCCGTCACAACCATTTCTGGTAAACTGCCTGAGTATGTTCACCAAAAGTCTGTAATACGGATTACTGAAGTTCTTATGTCAACAAATTCAGAATTTTAAACCGTGGACTCACTGTGCAGCAGTATTATTTGGATACAATCTCTATTTTCCAGTCTCCATCAGTTGGTCATATTAATTTTATTTTAAATTATACAAGATTCTTCTCCCACACATTGAAATACATAACCCTCATCTTGCAGGTCCTATGCTCACATGGACAATTACTTGTAATGTATTCAGAAGATAACCTCCCCACTTCAACAGGCATCTACAGCACAGCTGGCAGTAACTAGTTCATTTATTAAAATAAAAATAAAAGCAAGAGTCTCAATGAGTCAAAATGAGTGAGCAATCTTACTGACAACACAAGTACTCTGTTTTAGTCTGGATGAGGTATTATGTGGCAATTCATATTGCTATTGCCAGTGTAACTAACTACAGTAGATAAAAATATTTGCAGTCTTCAAGGTTATGAATCTGGCAGCTTTCCAACGGCACACTACCCACAGAATGTAAGCAAACAACTTCTCTCTTCGACCTCCGCTGGCTTTGGAGGCTCACACAGCCTTACCAGTTCAGGTTTTGTGCTATGACAACAAGGTCTCCAAGTTACCAACCTGATGCAAAATTCTCAGCAAAATTTTGCCAAAAATCAAAATCCTGTGACGTTCTCACTCTAGACCATCAAAGTGAAAGTCAGCATTTATTTAACTTAAACTTAGTGCTCATAACTAGACTTCTAGTCACTACGTATCTCTAAATGTGAAAGTGACTGCTGAAGTTACACTACACATATAACTTTTATCATCGTATGCGACAAATTAACTATACCAAGAGTGAAGCCGAAAGTACATACTACATTGAAAATACAGTCAGGAGAGCCATTTGTTTGCAAAACAGGAAGCTGTGACCATTACACAAAGAGCCAGTATGTTAATATCCAGTTCAGTCTGACAAATCTTGCTTCTCGATAAGGCAAAATGGAAAGGGAAGAGTAAACAGTGGTAAATGTAAAATATGCACAGAAACCTAACAGGATTATTCCAAATTACACACTAGTTTGTATCCAAACAACATATCATAAAAGGCACATGATGAACAGTCCAGTTACTGAAGACAAGATACTAATATGGGAGGGAAAAACAGCTTCCAGGCGACAGAGTAACACAGCGGCTATCGGGTTAGCATAATATCCTAATGTGGGTGAGCTCCTTGAGGGTCCTGCTCAAAGTCCAGTGAAATCAATAAAAGACATATTGATTTCAAGTGATTATGGCTCAGGCCCTAATTTCATGACCTATACGCTACCAACTATTTTCAATCCAGTTACCTACACTCAAAGTAAATCTTTGCAAAAAATATTCTTCAGTGCTGACAGGTATCTACTCTTCACAAAAGTGCAGAATCTTTTCCTAAAGCAATTACAAGTGACTGGCTCCTTCCAGATGCTCTATCTGCATCCACTTGCACTCACTCATATTTGTCTTCCTCCAAAATACTTACCAGAACCTGTTGACTGTGAAAGAAAATAATTTGAACTCCAAGGCCAATATTTTGTCATAATCCAACACACAGCCTAATCATAAAATATAGCGCTTCTAAAAATCTTACATACTTTACAGTTGCTGACATCTTTAAACATTTCTTAATTTAATCTTACATATATTTGACTTTATCAAAGGACTTAAAAGTTAAAAAAATATATTAAAAGGCTGCATGTGTTGGGTTCACTTATTAAAGGAAATACATGAAAGAGGTAGAAGATTCAGAAACACTGTAGATGTTCCCATCACAATAATATCTAATTGATCATACAGCTGTTGGGAAAGGTATTCAACTGCACCACACAGAATTGGGTGTTTTATTCTGCAATGGTACTACCTGAAGCTAAGAATTACTCAATTGTGGAAAGATGGAGCATTATAAACTGATTATATGTGGTCCAGTTTCTTACTGACTGAAAATTTCCAATCAAAAGGCATGTTTTACAACAGCCTTTAGGAGTCTCAGGTGTTAGAAATCTAACCATCCACTTACACACAAGATTAACATCTCCATGGTAAAGGGTTCATTCAACATGGTCATCCCCACCACCTCCCAATTTTTTTTAGGCTAAACTCCCCTGTACCCCATTTAAAGCCCCCAAAATTGTCAAGGGGGCTTCAGGAGCAGCAAGCATAGCATTCAAGCACATGGTAAAGGCGATTCCAGTAACAAATAAGAAGACAGTAATGAAACTGGCCACTTGCCCAGCACTGTTGTTACGTAGTGCAGTGAAACCATTATACTTCTCATAAGCTGTACCTTGTCATCTAAAACAGTGCCTGAAATGCTCTATCAAAAATACACAGCAACTCTCACCAGAAGGACTTCACACTACCACACCCTGAACTGACTACTTAGAAGTATTCCCAAATGTCCAGTAAGCTTGGACTGCTCATTATTTAAAGACTGTCATCTGCCGAGTCATTCTTGATCACACCTGTGAGAGGATACCCAGGTTATCTCATTGAGCAACGCATTTTGGCTGGTTCCTCTTACGATGATTTAAGACAAAGTGCTGCTGTACTGGTTTCTGCAGTCTGCCATACAACTGAGATTGTCAAGACAGTGTAAGATACTGAAAAGATAGTATAGATTTTGGTCAAACACCAGTTTCTGAGAGACATGGTTTTACAGTACTGTACTTTCTGTATTTCCAAAGTTGTCTGCTCGTAATATTAGAAAATTTGAAGTGTGATGTTAGTCATGACTGTTTCTTTAGGCATTTGGCAAAATACACTTATGTATAACAGCTATTTTTGACATTATCAAATGTTTACATATATACAATCTGTATACTGAGACTATAAACATGTAAGGTTAAAAAAAAAGATATAATCCTTGTTTGTTTGACGTTTATGTCATATAGTTGCCTTCCAAAGCTTGAAATCCTGTCACAAAAAAATCCTGTATTTCTTACTCCTGCATGCTAATTTCTACTACAGTATGTTGTTTATCCCTTACATGTGGAAAGTAAAGAACACAAGGTTCATGCATACAGCGTACACGTTTACATCGGCTGGGCTCTCCAGGAGGCGCATTCCCAGTTCAACTCTGGTCTGACTTGGGACTGTATTAAACCAGGGAAAAACCTCTCTTATGTGGGACTGGCAAACGGACTGCAGCTGGGATTCTAGGTAAGTGTATCTGTCATCATGCGGAACAGTCTTGCCACACGTCCAGGCTAATTATCCTGTTAACTGTTATGATTTTGGTTGTTCATCAAATCCATAAAATACCAGTCAAGAAAAAAGAAAGAAAGAAAGAAGACTGCTTTTTTCCCCCTTCCAGATGAGAGGAGGTCCTCGCTGTGATCTCTGCTGATCTTTCAAACTGTCTGAAGAGCAGATGAATGTGCAATGACTCAGTGATGCTGAGTTTCTATAAAATTCGAAGTAAACAGTTCTGATGTCACCCCAGGAAAACAGTGCAGCTAAATGGATGTCTCCCATAGCTGGAAAGGGGGAAAAGGAACACAAACACCCATTGAACAGCAAGATATAACAGGCTGTTACCCAAACAGTGTGAGGAGCTTGTTTGGGGAACTGCATCTATATCACTTGGTCTTCTCCCAGCTGCTGGCAGGTATCTGCTCAGACCACAAAGTCAGCCGACAGTCGCAAGCATTTCAGCACGACTTGCAGTTGGCATAGTAAATGTCCACAGCTGGGAGCGCAGAGTTTGAAGGACAAATGTCAGCGTAGCATCAAATTTGTACTAGACAGCTTTTACCTTACAGTTACGCTAACTAATATTAGCATAGAGAGAATTTCCCACTCCCTTCTGCCCGACTCTGCTGAGAGCAGTGTGAATTTCTGCTGTGGGTTTGCGCTGGGGCCAAGGCAGCTGCAGGGCTGCGATGCAGGAGCATGTGATGGGAATCTCATCCGCATCAGGAGCACGAACTAAAGCTATCACAAGTAAAGCTCCTGAAGTAAATTTCAGGGATTTTTTTGCTTATTCAAGTATCTGCTATGTCTGAACTGACATAAAGAAAGCAACAGCTGGTGTTGCCCTTTGGCAGCAGCTGGAAATGTCTCCCTGCACAGCAGCATCACCATCCATGGCATGTTCCAGCCATTGCTGCCCACCCTGGGGGGCCAGAGTGGGCTCAGGACATGCGGCAGCAAAGCCCCTCCAGGTGTGCAAGGGCTTGATGCAAGCTCTCAGCCCTTCCTTTCACTAGAACTTAGTCACCATGCCACAAGCTGGAAAGCAGCTATCCCCCAGCCCAAATGAGAGTCGCTGGCAGCATCAGCCCCCCAGCGGGGGTGAGGGAGGAGGGCCAGGCGCGCCGCCTGCTCCAGGGCTGCCCGTCCTCCGCAGCCGAAAGGCTGCCCCAGGCACGCTGTCAGCCTGAGGTAAGAAAACTAGTGAAATCTGGGCTTCCGGGCAGCTTTAAGAGCAACCTGATCACTGCCAGAGGCTCAGCCTTCAGCAGTTTCTGGAGAGAAGGGTACGAAGGAAATGCCACCGCTGCTCTCACTGTTAGTCACAGATCTGCTGATCTGCCAGGTTCTCCTTTTGAAAGACTGTCAGTAAATCAAGTCACTGAGGAAATGCACAGAGAAGAGGGACACGTACCCTGGCACTTTGCCTGTTGGCTTTTTTCTCCTCATCAGGAAGTGGCGGCATCGGGTAAGGGTATTTTCTGCTGGAAGCGATAGATCCAGTGGACGAAGATGGAGACTTTGCAGGAGACAGTGTCCTGAGATGTTGAAACACACAAAATAAATGTGATGTCTGCGGGTTCCAGCACTGCAACAGCAACTGCCATTACTCTGAAGCTTGGTTCAGAACCAAGTATATAGCTTATTATTAGCTCAATATCGGGGGGATAAAGTTGTTTGATCAGTTGTCTAATATTTCATGATATGAATAAAGTTATTTATAGCTTTCAGGAACACTGGAAGAAAAAATGAAATTTCCTACGTCCTACTAGACTTGTATGGCATAACAAAAACAATTTCTTAAACTGTTTTATATGGTACTGTAATTAATCCTTATAAAACTAACAAACCAAATCTGTAATTGAATAAATACAGAACTAAAAGATAGACATGGCATTATGAAGTCTAAATAGAAATGGTGATTGTATAAATACAGGCTAAACCATCTTCTGCCAGTGACTAAATGGCAATTATCAGTGCCTTTATGCATATCTTACACATCTCCTATATTGATACAAACATAGCAAATACATCTCTATTGTTTTGTAACACATTAGTTTACACAAATGCATGCACTTGGAGCTCAAACTGTTAGTTGTGAAGTAACAAAGGCATATACAAAGTGCTAATAACCAATTATTAGACATGCAAGCATCATACAGTGCATATTGTTCCAGCCAAAGAAAGAGTCTGATGAGAATATACAAAAATGGACTGATTATGTCAATGGCAATCAGCATTTCTGTACAAGGTGAGTAGAGTAAGCAGGAGCAAGTAAATGTTTGTATCACATGAAAGGCACTCTTTTCATGTCAATAAGGCAGCAGCACATTATTGACTGAAATTTTATACCCAAGAAAACTCTTATGCTTCTGTTTTGAGATTCTGCACTTTTCCCACTTGAGAGGTTCCTATCAGGCTCTAAATCTGGGCAGAATAAAAGGGACAAAAAGCCTCGAAGTAGAAAAATTGAGCTACCGTGGCTGCCTTCTCTTTTGCAGACTGAGGGCATTTTTCAAAGGAGGCCTCCAACTAGGGCAAGCACCATCACCCAGACCCTCCCTGAGCACTGCTACCTGCTATCTTTTGAACTTAACGCATCCCTGAAGATGGAAGGTTTTCTACAGACAGGTCTTCCAAGCCCCTCAGATGCAGCAGGGGTCTGCATGTTGTGCAGCTGTAGACCCCAGTGATGAGTACCATTGCCATCATCACTGATATGAAGGAGCCACAGGAGCCACCCCTGGCAGACAGCCCCACATCCCTGGCTCTGGCATTTAAAGGATCAGGTCTTTTCATCTAAGAGAGGATTACAGACAAGGCAAGGACTCTTTTGTGTCTGGAATTGTTGTGTATCTCTATTACTAAGTGAAATTAATTTACCTTTAAATAATTATTGTTTTATTTTGGACTAGCGTATCATATTGTTGTGTCTGTAGCTCCCTACAACAGCACACTCTCTTGTCTCCCATACAAACAATGACTGATGGTAGCCACGAGCAACAAGGTGTCAATGGAAATTATATGGCGAGAGCTCTCCAATCTGGCTCACAATGCTCTAACGCCTCATGCGGTAGCCTTCAAGTTCAACAGCACTTAAAAGATTTAGGTTGGTACAATTATCCAAACATGGATAATCCAAACATCTCCCATCCCTTACAAGGGCATCTTCAGCACATGCACTTTGATCACCCATTAAGATGAACTGGACATACATGAATGTTTTCAGGAAGAAAATTTCAAACAGCTACTGCAGTATAAAACAAGGTCTTCATATGTCCAGCATCATGGATCTGGGCACCAAACTGCACATGCAAGAAAACAGGTTATTTTAAAAAAGAAAATCCAGGGAAAAGTTCTCAACAGTGCCCTGCTGTTCACTACCTGTACACGTCCTCTCATCTCTGCCCACACTTGGACGGATAAGGTTCACTAATAAACTATTAGTGGATCTAGAATGAAAAAAGGAGAAGAGGAAGGGAGGAAGATAAGGAGAGCAGATTTTACATACTATCAGTAATCCAGTTATTAAAAAATTTTGCTCCACAGCTGCATGCATATATAATTAAATGTTTTAATTTATTACAATGCACCTGGAGATTAGAAGCAAGGAACTGGGGGTGTTAGATCTGACTTTGCAAGCCCTAGAAAGCTGTTTATATAGGTACCACAGCCAGGAGGTGGCACACAGAATGAAGGCATCTCTCATCCCTTAACAAGGGCATGTAGCAATAGGACAAGGGGTAATGGCTTTAAACTGAAAGAGGGTAAGTGTAGATTAGATATAAAGAAGAAATTTTTCACTATGAGGGTGATGAGGCACTGGAACAGGTTGCCCAGAGAGGTGGTAGATGCCCCATCCCTGGAAACATTCAAGGCCAAGCTGGATGGAGCTTTGAGAAACCTGGTCTAGTGGAAGGTGTCCCTGCCCACGGCAGGGGGGCTGGAACTAGATGATCTTTAAGGTCCCTTCCAGTCCAAACCATTCCATGACTCTATGATTCCTTGCCCCACAACCAGGCACACCTTGCACACCATAGGCTCTTCCCATGGGTTAATTTAGGCAGCACAAGAGGCGGCCATGGTGAGAGGGAAAGCCATGGCCAATCTACCTGTCCATGAGCCAGAGCAGGTGATCCTGGAAGGAACAATAACCCTCCAAGGATGGGGCATCCTGAACATCTTCCCTGCACAGCACGTCCCCTGATCAGGATCCCTAACTAAGCCTTTAGCCGGGCAGCTTTGCACCCGAACTCGAAACACAATGCTGCCTTTCCAAAAGATCTTGAAGCCCAGACCTCCAGTGTAGCTGCCTACGTCTCCTTCTTCTCAACCCCGCTTCGCGTTGCCCGCTCAACGACGGTTTGCACGCCTGATGCGCGCACTGCCGCTCACCTGATCGTGCAAAGCTACAGCCAAATACATCAAGAATGCAGTTGCACACTTACAGAAATGACCTTGCCCTCCCCTCGCAGGGCCTCACCCCTTCTTCCTGCCACACAGTTACGTGTCACCTACTGAGAGCGTGAATACATACCGCTACTAAGCGTACGCTCACAGTTCTTACAATAGCTCTTGTGTCACAAGCGTAGTTGTTTAAGGCATTTTTTATCACTTTTCAGGTTATGCCCTTCGATTGTCTATGTGCTGTGTATCCCAGATTTACATATATTTTAAATGAGAAAGAGCCAGACACGACCTTTCTCATTTACAGGATGGAAGAAAGACAGCATTCAGGGACACTTGCAGGTAATGCTGGGGTTAAAAGTAGGCAAAACTTCACGCTTTTGGTCAAGGGTGGGATCCATTTAGCTTTCACTGGGATTTTAGTTCTCCTGCTATCAAATCCATTAGCTTTCATGCCAAATACAAGAAACTAGGACTGCATTCTGCCCTGCACGTGCCACAACAGAGGTTCAGAGGTTTTACTGCCAGCCCCGAGTGAAGCCATGCACCTCAACACGCCGCAAGAATTCCAATTTCTGACCAGAAAGCAAGACGTAGTGGCCACTTTGCATCCATCTTTCTGTCCTGGAAGCTGAAACTAAGAGCGTGGGGAGACCACGCTGCGATTCACAACATGGCGCTGTGGCAGCGGGAGGACATCGCATGCGCCCTCCTGCAGCCAGGCACCCGCCGGCTCGGCCTGCTTGTCACCTGAACGGGGAGAGCGCTGGCCCACAAGAGACGGGGTGAAACGTGTCACCTGGTCACAAAACTACACCTCTCGCGACTTTGAGTGCCATTTTAGCTGAACTCGAGGCAGGTGGCCCTGACAGAACCGAACTGTTCATAAGCTGTGCTTGATTCCATTTCACAGGCTGAAATAATTTAATGAAATTCAATTAACATTCAACTTGGTGAAAGCATTTCAAGCCCAACTGTAGGTACTATCGGCCTAATCTGACCTTTGCTGCTGTGGGTTCAGCTCTTTGTAGGACACCAGCAGCCTAAATTTTCCTACATTAGGAAGTTGGGATCTTCTAAAAACACTGATGTGGCTAAACATTTTAACGCTCTAAATGCGGTTCCTTTTAAAACCACAGATGCGCACAAGTGTCCTCAGAAAGCGGCAGCAGAGGCTCGGCTCCTGGGGGGCTGCAGAAGAGGCAAAGGCTGTGGCTTGAGGCGCCCGCTTTAAGCACCGCACAGCAATGCCGCAGGAGCAGGCACTCACGACGCTTTCATGAACTCTTCTCCCCAACTCTCGAAATGAAATCCTGATCTTACTGATGTCAATGGGCTTTTTTTTTTGCTGTTGTCTGCCAACAAGGCCGATACTGCGCTTTGGCTGTAATGGGGAAACTTTTTTTTTTCCCCCTTTAAGCAGAGCCTAGAGGTTCCTCGGCGAGAGCAGGGAGCTAACGGCTGGTCACGGCTCCGGCCTCAGCTGGCTGCTCAGAGTGGCAATGGCCCTGGCAGAGCTGCAGAGCCAGCTCTGGCTAGTCATCAGCTGAGGAGGAGCTGAGAAGAAATCGAGGAAGACAACAGCAAGAACACCAACGCACATTAAAAACAGGAGAAGGATGACACCCTGTTGCCTCCTGTCTTCCATGCCCCTCGTCAGTGGCTTCCTGATATGGGATGGACATTTTTCTTCTAGGTATGTGTCCTCGGTCTTCATCTACAAAAACTATTTTCTTTGTAAACTACTTCTATTCTTAAACAACTCCTATACAATCTAAGTTATTGTAAATATTTGCATTAAATCAAATGCAGGCAGGTCAGTGCTTCAGAAGGTGCCTTCTAGTCTTTTTTGTCTGTAATTATCTACATAATTTGGGATTCTGACAGTTTATTTTCTGATACTATCATGGTTCCCAAGTCTTTCAAGATTCAATGAGGATCTTGAGTCCTTAATCATAATCTTGATATCCTTAATCATAATTTTATAAGGTCAGTCTGTGCAGTAGCCACTGTAATTGGCAGTAACAAAAATCAGCAGTAGTACCACACTAGTAAAACAGCACCCCAGCAGCAAAGCCAAAAACAGGGAAAGGTTTCCTGCCTGGGTTTATTGCTGGGGTTATGCAGCTAA